AGAATTGGAGAGGACGGCAGCAGGAGCACAAGGCTAGAAAAGGACAGAGGACTGTCCCAAGGAGCATCACACTCCGGCAGCCACCCACCAAGCCCCCACACTGCGACGAGCAGCTGAGCGGGGAGGGGGTTATCTTATGCCCGAAACGCTTTGCGTAATAGTGGCTTTAGGCATTGTATGTACTAGCTCTACCTTTAAGTCAACCAATCTTTGTAAAAATTTATTGTATGTATATACCTTACCTAAATAAACATTTTATTTTATTTTATTTTATTTTATTTTATTTATTTTATTTTAAAAACTGAAAAACATTTAAATCTTTTTACTGGCTGGACGAGCTACTGTGAAAGGTGGTATGTAATCAATCTAGGCAACGGGATCCTTCTTGAGGTTATCTTGAGATGATTTCGGGGCTATTAGTGTCCCCGCGGCCCGGTCCTCGACCAGGCCTCCACCCCCAGGAAGCAGCCCGTGACAGCTGACTGACACCCAGGTACCTATTTTACTGCTAGGTAACAGGGGCATAGGGTGAAAGAAACTCTGCCCATTGTTTCTCGCCGGCGCCTGGGATTGAACCCAGGACCACAGGATCACAAGTACAATGTGCTGTTCACTCGGCCGACCGGATCCCAATCAGATCCCGAACCGGATCCGACCGGGATCTGTTGACAACTGACGTCGACTTTGCTGACAATATACAGTACAGTAGTATGAGAGACCAGTGTTCACCTTGGATGTTTCTTTGATCATTTATCACTTGTTTTCATATACAGTGTTGACTATAGTGTGTTAAAATAATCAAAATCAAATACTTATGTAGAACATCTGGAGAGAAATGACATATCAGACAGATAGCATGGGTTTCGATCAGGAAGATCCTGTGCAACAAATCTGCTTAGATTCTATGACAGAGCTACAGTGATATTACAGGAAAGAGATAGTTGGATCGACTGCATTTATCTGGGTTTGAAAAAGGCTTTGGACAGAGTCCCACATAAGAGAATGTTCTAGAAATTTGAACATACTGGATGAATGACAGAAAGGCTTCAATAGTTGGATGAAAAATGTTTTAACTGGCAGAAAAATGAGGGCAGTAATCAGAGGCATGTTTTAACTGGCAGAAAAATGAGGGCAGTAATCAGAGGCATGTTTTAACTGGCAGAAAAATGAGGGCAGTAATCAGAGGCAAAGTATCAGACTGGAGAAATGTCATGAGTGGAGTGCCACAGGGTTCAGTTCTTATTCTGGTAATGTTCATTGTCTACAGAAATGATCTACCAGAAGGAATACAGAATTACATGAACTTTGGAGATGATGCAAATATAATAGAGTATATAAGAAATTTTGATGACTGTCATGCCTTTTAAGAAGACCTGGAGAAAGTAAGTCTATGGAGCAACACCTGGCAAATGGAATTTAATGTGAATAAATGCCACGTTATGGAATGTGGAATAGGAGAAAATAGGCTACATACAACCTACAAATTATGTGAAAAAGCTTTAAAGAATTCTGATAAAGAGAAAGCTATAGGGGTTATCTTGAGGTTATCTTGAGATGATTTCGGGGCTTTTTAGTGTCCCCGCGGCCCGGTCCTCGACCAGGCCTCCACCCCCAGGAAGCAGCCCGTGACAGCTGACTAACTCCTGAGTACCTATTTACTGCTAGGTAACAGGGGCATTCAGGGTGAAAGAAACTTTGCCCATTTGTTTCTGCCTCGTGCGGGAATCGAACCCGAGCCACAGAATTACGAGTCCTGCGCGCTATCCACCAGGCTTTCGTGGCCCCAAATATTCGTGGGGTGGTTTCAAATAGAAAACTGTCACCTGAGGACCATATAAAGAACATTGTATGAGGATCCTATACTATGCTTTCCAATTTCAGAATTGCTTTTAAATACTGTACAAGGATAGCAAAATATTAATGAAATTATTCATGGCCTTTGTAAGACCAAATTTGGAATACAGAGCTATGGTACCCATATCTGAAGCAGCACATTAACAAACTGGAAAAGGTGCAAAGACTTGCAACAAAATGGCTGCCAGAACTGTAAGACATGAGCTACAAGGAGAGGTTAGAGGTGATAAATATGCCAAAGCTAGAAGATAGAAGAAAAAGAAGTGATATGATCACTGCATACAAAATAGTAAAGGGAAGTGACAAAACTGATAAAGAAGAATTCTTGAAACCTGGAACCTCAAGAACAAGAGGTCATAGATTTAAGCTAACTAAACAAAACTACCAAAAGAACATTATAAAGTAGACTTTTTGCAGGGTGGTAGATGATTTGAATAAGCTAGGTTTTGGTGGTGACCAAAATCGTCAGTACAGTACAGTAATTTCAAAGTGTAATATGACAGAGTGCTGGGAAGACGGGACACCATGAGCGTAGCTCTTATCCTGTACTACACTTAGGTAATTCCACCACAAACACAAAATCAGTGTGTAGCGACCTTTGACGCCTGCCTCATCTGTCACTGTGAGAGTTCTGTCAGCGAAACATGTTGTCCCGAGCCACATATTCTCAATATATTGATCTTCGATGTCTAGACAATCGATTGTATGTATAATAGGAGCGATATAAATACATATACAGTAATTTCAATACATTGATCTTCGATGTCTAGACAATCAATTGTATGTATAATAGGAGCGATATAAATACATATACAGTAATTTCAATATATTGATCTTCGATGTCTAGACAATCAATTGTATGTATAATAGGAGCGATATAAATACATATACAGTAATTAAGTCCATATCAGGTTGCTCTTTTTTATATCAATATATATAGACACTGTCTCTTATGGGACCATTCAAGGCAGCTCATTTATATAGATATAAAGAGGGGCTGCCTCAAATAGGCCTATTCGACTATGTAACAGAGCTATTTTTACTGATATAAATAGCAGCTACCTCATATGCATGACTAAGACTTCTGTAGTTTATTATGTTCAAATGATAACATATAAATGATATGTTCAAATGTTTATTATGTTCAAATGTTAATGTGGTATGCTTCATTATAACCATATATAGTTGAGAAAACAAAATGAACATAACTGGTATACATATCAGGTTATTATGATGGAATTTTATGCGATGATTACCGTATTCGCATAGTAACATTTATGACAATAACCGCATTCACATAGCAAGATAATAATGAAGCAACAGCAGGGTTTTTCCATGTGTCAAGGTAAACTCTATTACATCCACATGGAGCTCTTCTATCCATATCATCACATATATATATATATATATATATATATTATATATATATATATATATATATATATATATATATATATATATATATATATACAGTATATATAAAACCCAGATGATGATAGTTTAAATCTCCATATGATGATAACCACATTATCCTGTGAATCAACATATGACAGTCACCGCACTTTGTGGGGTAAAACTCAAGGTGGAATATGTTGCATATTTGTTGCATGAATATGTTTAACATACACAAGGAACTCACACTAACGTGATATATCAGAGAGAAAATCAACTGGAGCAATGTGGAGGTTTCAAACCCTCGACCTGGGTACTCCCCCAAGCCATACTCGACCTGGGTACTCCCCCAAGCCATACTCGACCTGGGTACTCCCCCAAGCCATACTCGACCTGGGTACTCCCCCAAGCCATACTCGATCTGGGTGCTCCCCCAAGCCATACACGTAACCGCTGAACTACAACATGTATAAGTTATACAACCTAGGATTCTACTGAATCCACAGGACATCTGGAGGCCTCCTACTGAAGCTTCAACCAAGCATCCTTTGGCGAGTTCTAAGATTTTGGTTTCTCTTGAATCCCAAGAGTGGTCTGTATTGGTTCCCCAACTTTCTGGATGCTGTCCTGGTGGGATGGCAGAGTGTCACCCACTCTCTGCACCTCTGTGGGAAGAAGAGGGGGGGGGGGGGGCAGGTTCTGGCTCTGGTTCCCGGTAGGCCAAGCAGAACTCTGCGGCCGACGCACACTAGTAGTTGGGAGCCATCTCGGGAAGATAGCTTCAGGGAGCCACTGGGGATCACCCAGAGATAGGTATTTCATTGCATCCAATGCTGGTTGCTTTACCTTAAAAATTTAACTCAAAATTCATGATTTATTAAGATATAAAAATAAATTAAAATACAAAGTATAGAATGTTCTCTGCACTTTCCAATGATACACAAAAAAAATTATTTTCAATAATAATTTCAGGGAAATATGTCAAATTAAATTAGGTAAAATAAAAATAACAAATAAAAGTAAATTTTTTGAGTTGTGGTTTTAAATAGTTCATATATTAAGCACAAGTATGCTAGAATAAGTAAATGGTTCATATAGTAAGCCCAGGTATGCTAGAATACAAAAATATATAAATGACATACTTGTTTGATGCTTGATGGGGTTCTGGGAGTTGTTCTACTCCCCAAGCCCAGCCCGAGGCCAGGCTTGACTTGTGAGAGTTTGTCCACCAGGCTGTTGCTTGGAGCGGCCCGCAGGCCCACATACCCACCACAGCCCGGTTAACAGATATAAAATTTTAAATAACAGTCCAAGAGGAAACTAGATTGTTTCCTTCAAGGAGTGCCGGACCAACCGGGCTGTGGTGGGTATGTGGGCCTGCGGGCCGCTCCAAGCAACAGCCTGGTGGACCAAACTCTCACAAGTCAAGCCTGGCCTCGGCTGGGCTTGGGCAGTAGAAGAACTCCCAGAACCCCATCAAGCAGGTATATGTGGGCCTGCGGGCTGCTCCAAGCAACAGCCTGGTGGACCAAACTCTCACAAGTCAAGCCTGGCCTCGGGCTGGGCTTGGGCAGTAGAAGAACTCCCAGAACCCCATCAACCAGGTATATGTGGGCCTGCGGGCCGCTCCAAGCAACAGCCTGGTGGACCAAACTCTCACAAGTCAAGCCTGGCCTCGGGCCGGGCTTGGGCAGTAGAAGAACTCCCAGAACCCCATCAACCAGGTATATGTGGGCCTGCGGGCCGCTCCAAGCAACAGCCTGGTGGACCAAACTCTCACAAGTCAAGCCTGGCCTCGGGCCGGGCTTGGGCAGTAGAAGAACTCCCAGAACCCCATCAACCAGGTATCAACCAGGTCTGATGGACATCATTATGTATCTCACAAAAAAGTGGTAATTTTTGCATTCTATTCACAGCTTTTCCCAGCATGTATTTAATTTTGTTTGTTTCAACCTTCCAAGCAACAGTAACACTGTCAAAAGCATTAATATTGTACGACTGCCAGCACTCTCGTACTGTTCCTATTTCCCCATTGGTTTAATCTACAATTTGTTGCATTATCCAAAATGTGTAACATGCCTAAAACCTTCTTCTATGGCCTTTATCCATGTAGTATTTTTTGGGGAAGAAATTCCATTGTGATATGTACTAACAAAACTGAGAATATGAGAGGATAGCCAATGAGGAACACCGATTATTACAGATCAGAGCATACTAAAACTCAGTCAGACAGATAAACAACAATAGGGCGAGTGTATGTATGTATGATAAAGCAAATATTCGTATTCTCTTCCCATTCTCTTTTGTCGATAAACCACTCTGGATAATTCTTACAACCAGCCTAGTTTGTTACAGAGTAAGTATTCGTTAAGCGAGTTTCACTTTTATTTCTTTGTGCATGCAATAATACAGTATACAAACAACACATTGAAATGTCATTTTTTGTTAACAGAAGTGAGGGAAAAAGAGTGAGGGTTTGTGGGAGGCTTTCTTAAACATTTTGGGTACTATCACTTGCTGACATTTGACTCTGATGGTAACAGCAGTACTTTCGGGATTAAGGTTTGCAGGCCAAAGGACTTTGTCACATATTACTTGATTTGGGAATGTTTTCCGAGACACATGGACCGAGGTCGATTATGTTAGTGAACAATAAATTTTCTATGGGCAGCAGCAATTGACTCTAGCAGTGAAAGAGTTATAAATGAGGTGGGCAGCTCCCTCAACCCTGGGCTCCAGTAGGGCTGCCACATGTAGGAGGATGAGGTAGTTAAAGAGCTTCATTAGTTCATAATGACTCTTGGTGCAAGATGCCAAGAGTCATTTACAAGGAATGTGGTGTGGTATGAATAGTTTGTGTCATAGGAAGCAGTTGTCTCAGTGGGATATAAGATTGCTCTTCCCCCATGTGCTTCCTGTGCCATTATTAGGGCAAGATAACTAGCAAGGTTACTCGTCTTTCTAAGGTTAACAGTCGCATAGTCTAGTATCTTGTCACGGCCTGGTGACTAGTATACAGTAGTTGGTGATATCCTTCGGACATTCACACTTGTATCAATTCTTCTCTTGGTGCAAACTCACAATAATTATTATTTATCAGAAAAACTTCCAGGACACTCGAGACACTGATACGGTTTGTCTTCTGTATGAATCACTGAATGTCCTAAAATATTACATTTTCCTTTAAGATTTCTGAGACACTGTGAAGGATCATCTGATTTCTCTTTGGTATGAACCCTCATATGTCTTGTTAAATAAGGTTTGTATGAAAAGCTTTTAGGACATTCTAAACAATGAAAAGGTCTCTCACCTGTATGGGTCCTCTGATGTGCAACGAACTCACTTTTTCTTACAAATTTTTTGGGACATTCTGAACAGTAATACGTCAACTCTCCCGTATGAACTCTTAAATGAATCACATATGTATGTCTATCTTTAAAGTCTTTAAAACACACTTCACACTGAAATGGTTTTTCACCTGTATGAATTCTCATGTGACTTACGAGGGAATATTTATATCTAAAAAATTTCATGCACTCATGACATTGATATCGCTTCTCTCCTGTATGAACTCTCATATGCTTTCTTAAATCTGTATTCAGTGGAAATCTTTTAAGGCATACCCCACACTGATATGCTTTCTCTCCAGAATGATACACCAAGTGTGTTTGCAAAGCACCTTTTCTTAAGAAGTTTTTAAGGCATAACGGACACTGATGTGGTTTTTTCCCCGTATGTATCCTCTTGTGTTTTACTAAATTAGACTTTTCCGTAAAATATTTAAGACACTCAAGACATTGATATGGCTTCTCTCCAGTATGAACCCTACCATGGCTAGTCAAATCATCTTTTCTTTTGAAGCTTTTAGTACACTCAAGACACTGATACGGTTTCTCTTCCGAATGAACCTTCATATGTTTAGTTAAAGATGTACTTGCTGAAAAGGTTTTAAAGCACACAATACACTGATAAGGTTTTTCTCCAGTATGTATCCTAATATGCCTAACTAGATCTGAATTAAGAGTAAAACTCTTGCCGCATTCGGAACACTGAAAACGCCTCTCTCCTGTATGAATCTTCAAATGTATCTCTAAAGCACTTTTTTGTTTGAACATTTTCTGACACACTGAACACTGATTAGGCTTTTCTTTATGTCTTTTTATATGTTTCCTAAGACTAGATTTATTTGCCAAGTTTTTAGAACATTCTGGGCACTCGTGCTCGGCTTTTTCTGTATGATCTGCCATGATGAAATAAAGTAAATTTATGCAATATGTTTAAGATACTGAACAATGAAAATGTTGTCAATACACAAATTCTAATTTGTTTACTTATCATATGTAAACATCTGAACACTACCGAGTTTCAATACCGTTCTGTCCGTGTACATCACCATAATAGGTTTTTCTAATCAATCTGAAACATAAAAGAACATTACGTTTATATTATATCTACTCACATTTACAGGTATTGAATTCTTAATATTATTAGAATAAGACTAGATTAATAACAGCCATTTCCCACTCATTAACATGATTTACTACTAAAGGACACATGGCGTTACTACTAAGAAACACCCAGCTTTAATATTAGACACACACATGGCTTACTAATAAGACACACATGACCTTTAATAGTTCCTAACAAAACACTAATACACAAGATGGAGAGACAAGCTCAGATAAGAGGAAAGACAACTTACTAAGGGAGTGCCTTATGAACAGGATAAAGATTATAGTTGGAGAGGATATGGCTGGCAAGAGAGGAGTAGAAAGTGGGGTTCCCAAGTGGTCTCCTAGGACTGTTGCTGTTTTTAATATATGTAAATGACCTCACAATTGGAATGAGCTCATACATGTCAATGTTTGCAGAGGATGCAAAGTCAATGAAGAGGAAAGGAACTGAGGAGAACACCTCCAGCTCCAAGTGCACTAAACTCTTGGCTCACACCGCACAATCGAGCACAGGAGAGGCCTCAAAGGCAAAACACCACTTAGCTGATGACAGGAGACCAGAGTTAGAGCAAATTGAGAGGGCAACCAAGCACAAATACATCAGTATAAGAACTGATGGTGGAGCAACTGGCTGGCCTGGTCTGCCTCCCCCACTTTCCGTAAATGATGAGGAAATGTAGGTGGGGCAAACTAGCTTGTGCTAGTTTCGCAATTTTTTTATTGTTTACATTGTCAATTATATCAATTGTTATGTTATCAATTATATGTTATTTATCAATTCTGATTGAAATTACCTACTTAAAATTATCTGCTAGATTAAGGACCTGCCCGAAACGCTGTGCGTACTAGTGGCTTTACAAGAATGTAAATACTGTACTATCCAATGTATTCTCACAAACCCAATGTACCTTCTTGTATATATATAAATAAATAAATAAATAAATTGTTGGGAGAGTTCATTTGCCTGTTTTGAGTCTGGTTTTCTAACAAGCAGTATTCAGTTTTGTTTTGCTGACTATCTGGGTACCTTCCCTTGATGATAGCTGACACGAATAAATTTACTAAATTTTTCATAGAGCCCACTGCTCCCTGCACCTCTTTGAGGGGGCCAGGTTCTGGCTCGTTGTCCCCTTGAGGCCAACAAGAACTCTGCGACTGATGGCACATTGTAGTCTAGCACTATATCGGTATAGTAGCATCAATGACACACAAAAGGCTCTTCCCAGAAAACAAAGGTGATATTTTAACTACATGAAAGGTACTGGAGAGGCACAGCCAATGTGGACAAGGGCAGCTTAGTTAAACTGAAAGGTGATAGAGAAAAGGGAACATTGGTGAATATACAGTCAAGTTGAAGAAATGTAAGAAAATTGTCGTACCATGTACAAGTGGTCTGCAAATACTGGTAGAATGTATTGAAGGTAGAAGCTGTTGAAGCCACTTCCATCCATAACCTTAGGAAAAAATATTATATTTGCTTCAATGTCAAGAAATTAAATTAGTGTGCCAAGTATATATGGTACAAGTAATGGTATAAAGAGCCATGTAGTCACTGATAAGCATTACAACACATGTATTTCGGTACTCAAACACACATGGCATACTATCAAAACATGTGGCTTACTACTAAAGGGGTCTATGAAAGAATTTGACCTATATAAATAATTTGCCCATCTATGAACATTATTTGTTATTTTATTGGGTCACTTACGTGAAGCAATAATTCACTGTAGAATATACCATTGTGTAGCAGAGGAGTTTATCGTAAAGAACTTTTGTGCAGTTTTTCTCTAACTTGACTCGCCGTCAATTTTCTTTCTGGCAGAAAAAAAATTAATAGTGGAGAGTGTGATAAAAATTATGAAGGGTGGAAATTGTAACATTTTGTAAGTGTAAATGTAAATACTGTACAATTAGTTTTTCTGGTGCAGATGGAGAACAGAATGCCACATGGAAATAGTAAGCATGTCGGTGTAGAGGTAAATGGTGCAAAATAAACGCGTGAATAAACAATGTATATATAAACTATAAAATGCAGTGGGGAAAAAAATGAAATGGGTGTATGAAGGAATTTCTTCACACACATTGTCAAGGTCATGATATTAGCATGGTACAATAGTCCAAATGTAATGAACAAGAACGATAGGGGTAGTTTAGTTTAGTTCATTTATTATGCACCCCATACCCATCCCGTGGGCAGTAGTGGAAAGGGTTACAGAGGCACATAATGGGCTCAGGGACTGAACCCTACAATTCATTTAGCTAAGCAAGTTGCAATCTTGATGAGCTAGTTACAAAATTTAATATAAGTCGTCACATCAACAACGGGTTCGAGATCGACCTCAAGTACAGGTTCTAAATTAAGCAACTGACATATGTGGAGAGCTAGTGTCACAATTTATATGTTTGTCCTGCACACCGCCCCCCCATCCAGTGGGCAGCAGTGGATAGGTTACAATCACTCAGTTACTACCTACAGTTAGCAAACTGGGGATATTTGGCTAAAATTTCTGGTAGCAGATCATTTTGAATTAAATATTTACACATCGCTGGAACATGGGTTATAAAATTGTCTCTAAATTCACGTATCTTTTCGGGTAATGGTCTAACATTACGAGTCCTGTAGTACAGTGGTCTATACTCTTGACTCACAGTTGGGGATCTTGGGTTCAATACCCAGTTGGGACAGAAATAGTTGGGCATGTTTCCTTTACCCAAATGCCTCTGTTCACCTATCAGTAAATAGGTACCAGGGTGTTAGGCAGCTCTTATGGTTGCTTGGGAAAGGCCATTAGTTCAACACAGTAGGACCTCGATACACACCTAAGTACAGTACTGTATAGGCTTCCCATCTCCTATAAAGGCAATTAGGGGACAGGAAGTTGCCATATCTGATGGTTGTCAGTACCAGACCATGACACCAAAACACCACCTATACCACCTGCACCAGTGCATATAACAATACTATAAAGATGTCAGGATCTTTGAATATACTGTACATTGAAGTACTAAATTCATCTAATATTATTGGAATAAATATTATAATGTTCTGTCTTCTATAAGAGTGCACATAGATCCTATGAAAAAGTCCAGCATAGAGTGTAATGACGCGACTCTTTCTGTTGGCTCCCTCGGTGGCTTCCTGAGCTACCTACCTGGTTACCTCCAAGCCTAAGTACGCCACCAGGCATATAACTCACAAGTGTTTACTGGTGATCAGGACCAGAACCTGGCACCCTTAACAAAGGCAATGGAAGTGTGGGGATACAAGATCACCACAGAACTGAAGTTAATTACTAAATTAACAGGGAGTTCAGTTAATTAAGAAGTTAATTAACTAAATTAATTACTAAATTAACAAACTACCAGATAAGTAAGAGTGTACCAACACAAGCAATTGCATGGACCACATTTGTAACCTAGGTGTGAACTATGTATACAATTATTGTCCAATTTCCAACTGCTAATTAGCAAACACTCACTGGCCACCAGATGGTAACCCCTGGCGACCTAATGGTTATAGCCGGCCACTCCCTGTCAGACGTGTGCCACCCACAAAACCTAGCACTGAATGTAATGAAGTGCCAGTTTCTAGGCGAGCCTCGGAGGCTCCATGAAGCTATAATACTGATATAGTCCTATCCTACTTGGGGTCATCAGTCACAGAGGTCTTGTTGCCTACCAGGAACCAGACCCAGAACCTGACCTTCTCTTGAGGTTATCTCAAGATGATTTCGGGGCTTTAGTGTCCCCGCGGCCCAGTCCTCGACCAGGCCTCCACCCCCAGGAAGCAGCCCGTGACAGCTGACTAACACCCAGGTACCTATTTTACTGCTAGGTAACAGGGGCATAGGGTGAAAGAAACTCTGCCCATTGTTTCTCGCCGGCGCCGGGATCGAACCCAGGACCACAGGATCACAAGTCCAGCGTGCTGTCTGCTCGGCCGACCGGCTCCCATTGGTGGAGTTCAGATACAGCAGCGAGAGGGAGAAGTTTTACCTGTCAGCTACTACATCTACAAGCTGAAGCCTCACCAGCAAAACTACAGCACCATAGAAAAAGAGTTACTAGCCATCGTACTGTGCCTACAATGCTACGAACCATATATACTGTACAGAGTCACCAGTCTATCACTATTTATTCAGAAAACAATCCTCTTCGATTTCTACGACAAGCCCAATTCTCCTATCAACATCTACTCCATTGGGCCTTGTATCTACAAAACTACAACCTGATGATATTCTACATCAAGGGATCCGACAACATAGTAGCAAATGCATTATCCCGTGTTCATGAGGTGGAACCTCCCACTTCCACCATTCCTTCCATATCAACATCTCGGGCAATAGGAAGAGGCTTCGAGGAGGAGCTGTCACAATTCTCCAGCATAGCAGAGAAAACTGCCTCTTCCTTCTTACCTTCGTTGTTCATCACTCTGCATACCGCGTATTACGACCAGAATGGAATTCAACCCAGACGAATGTCTGGACACCATCAATGCTCTCTAGTATACCCTCTACCCAGCCCGAGAGCCACAGGCAGGTGGTGGCGGCAAGACCTGCCAGTTCCTTGTTACATCTAGGTAACCACCTGTTATGTTGCCGGCTCATCGTTCCATGTCTCGGTGACAAAGGGTGTATATACCCCATGAACTCGGTCACCTCAGCAGTCTCTCATCAGGTGCTCAGGGAATATTAACATTACAGCCTCTGCCTGTCGCTTACCTCCTGCTTCTTCGTGTGCAAATTTGAAAAGTTTTTATGTAAATAATTTCAGTGTCACCCATATTTTTATGTTAATGTAAGTTTGTATATATATATTTTTGTCTGATTATTATTTCTCATGAGTGTTAGCCAAGTACTGTATGTCACATAAGGGGTATTGTATATTTTTCATATAATAATAATAATAATAATAATAATAATAATAATAATAATAATAATAATAATAATAATAATGTTTATTTAGGTAAGGTACATACATACAAGAAATTTTTACAAAGATTGGTGGACTTATAGATAGAGCTAGTACATACAATGCCTAAAGCCACTATTACGCAAAGCGTTTCGGGCAATATGTTATTTGTTCATTTTGATATTAGAGTAAATAGTCATAATTTTTCACTTGAGCATTCCTTCACTCATGTTCAATTTTCACACTGCAAAGGCCAATGTGGCATTTTTTTTTTAACGCGAAGTGCGAGCCACATTCCATCTGCCCAGTATAGCCGCACTACTGAGTCACATAACATAGGAAAGAAGAGTTTGGGCAACATTCTTTCACTTGATGATGCTGTTCACCTAGCAGTAACTAGGCACCTTATGGATTGCACCCTAGGATGACCCCGATTGGAAGCAAATTACATCTTATACAAGACAGTTTATCAACAGTTTTAAAACCTATCTAACCCAGCCTGATTAATAATAATAACCTAACCCAAATCAACCAAGCTATCAAATATATTCTAATACAATGATATATACAGGTTTTGACAATCAGAAAGCACGTTTTGTTAAAACGCTTCTATGATGTGACTATATTCCCCCTTCAAAGGCTCAATTCAGTCTTCCTGTCCCTCACAACGTGTAACCAAACCATCTGTACAACCCCCCAGTTCACAATTACAACTCCCGTGACACTAACAACTGCTTTAAATACATACCTAAAGTGTTGGAATTATGGGTTTGAGTTGCTTGTAGCGGGCAGGAGTAGAGTGACCAGGTGTATGACGAATGGGAGGCGAGCAATGGCGACGATTCCTGTAGGATCTTCTGGTAGGATCTGGTGATTTTATAGATTTATGAGCACCGACAGCAATGGTGCTCGCTATGTTAGGTAACACTTAAGACACTCAGGCCCATACACCTGGTGCCTGACTGTGTAGGGCAGCACTCAGGTGCCTGACTGTGTAGGCCAACACTCAGGTGCCTGACTGTGTAGGCAACACTCAGGTGCCTGACTGTGTAGGCCAACACTCAGGTGCCTGACTGTGTAGGCCAACACTCAGGTGCCTGACTGTGTAGGCCAACACTCAGGTGCCTGACTGTGTAGGCCAACACTCAGGTGCCTGACTGTGTAGGGCAGCACTCAGGTGCCTGACTGTGTAGGGCAACACTCAGGTGCCTGACTGTGTAGGCCAACACTCAGGTGCCTGACTGTGTAGGCCAGCACTCAGGTGCCTGACTGTGTAGGTCAACACTCAGGTGCCTGACTGTGTAGGTCAACACTCAGGTGCCTGACTGTGTAGGCCAACACTCAGGTGCCTGACTGTGTAGGGCAACACTCAGGTGCCTGACTGTGTAGGGCAACACTCAGGTGCCTGACTGTGTAGGGCAACACTCAGGTGCCTGACTGTGTAGGGCAACACTCAGGTGCCTGACTGTGTAGGGCAACACTCAGGTGCCTGACTGTGTAGGCAACACTCAGGTGCCTGACTGTGTAGGCAACACTCAGGTGCCTGACTGTGTAGGGCAACACTCAGGTGCCTGACTGTGTAGGGCAACACTCAGGTGCCTGACTGTGTAGGCCAACACTCAGGTGCCTGACTGTGTAGGCCAACACTCAGGTGCCTGACTGTGTAGGGCAACACTCAGGTGCCTGACTGTGTAGGCCAACACTCAGGTGCCTGACTGTGTAGGACAACACTCAGGTGCCTGACTGTGTAGAGCAGCACTCAGGTGCCTGACTGTGTAGAGCAGCACTCAGGTGCCTGACTGTGTAGGGGCAACACTCAGGTGCCTGACTGTGTAGGGCAACACTCAGGTGCCTGACTGTGTATGGCAGCACTCAGGTGCCTGACTGTGTAGGCCAACACTCAGGTGCCTGACTGTGTAGGCCAACACTCAGGTGCCTGACTGTGTAGGCCAACACTCAGGTGCCTGACTGTGTAAGCCAACACTCAGGTGCCTGACTGTGTAGGCCAACACTCAGGTGCCTGACTGTGTAGGCCAACACTCAGGTGCCTGACTGTGTAGGCCAACACTCAGGTGCCTGACTGTGTAGGCCAACACTCAGGTGCCTGACTGTGTAGGCCAACACTCAGGTGCCTGACTGTGTAGGCCAACACTCAGGTGCCTGACTGTGTAGGCAACACTCAGGTGCCTGACTGTGTAGGACAACACTCAGGTGCCTGACTGTGTAGGCCAACACTCAGGTGCCTGACTGTGTAGGCCAACACTCAGGTCCCTGACTGTGTAGGGCAACACTCAGGTGCCTGACTGTGTAGGGCAACACTCAGGTGCCTGACTGTGTTGGGCAGCACTCAGGTGCCTGACTGTGTAGGGCAGCACTCAGGTGCCTGACTGTGTAGGCCAACACTCAGGTGCCTGACTGTGTAGGGCAACACTCAGGTGCCTGACTGTGTAGGCCAACACTCAGGTGCCTGACTGTGTAGGCCAACACTCAGGTGCCTGACTGTGTAGGCCAACACTCAGGTGCCTGACTGTGTAGGCCAACACTCAGGTCCCTGACTATGTAGGGCAACACTCAGGTGCCTGACTGTGTAGGGCAACACTCAGGTGCCTGACTGTGTAGGCCAACACTCAGGTGCCTGACTGTGTAGGCCAGCACTCAGGTGTCTGGTGGAGGACAACCAACGAACACTGAAGAGGCAGCGACGGGACTAAGCTGCATGTGTCCTTGATAGTAGGTGCAGTTTTTAGTGTGTATGAAGGAGCATTTGTCCTGCCAGTCTGAGCCTTGAGGCACCTTTGTTGTTGTGGTGGGCTAGGGGTAGCTACAGCACTGCTCCTTATTATATGAGGGATGATAATAATAATAATAATAATAATGATAATAATAATGAATAATAATAATAATAAATTAAAAATACAGTAATAATAATATATGAGTCCAAAATAAAGAGGTTAATCACCACAAGGGTACGATCCCATGGAACAGCCTACCCGCCGAATCCGTAAATTTTAAGATGCAACTTGAAAAAAATCGTAAGGACAAATCGTGGGACATTTGACAAGCCGCCGGTTTCCTGTCTTCATTGGCGCCACTCGAGTATTAGTAGCTCCTCGGGTAAATTCAGGTCAATCAAATTGCTGCACATCCTTCCAAGCGTACTAAAAAAAAAATTATATAAATAATATATATTATTGGTATATTATATTTAAGAATAGCGAGTATATTATATAAATAATATACTCGCTCCAAACTCTCATTAGCTTAATGAGATGAGTTTGTTAAATCCACTTAACCCACTAATTACAATTAATACCTCTTTTTATTTATTTTATTTATTTATTTATGCATATACAAGAATGTACATAAGGAATGTGAGGATACATAATATGGTAATTACAGTCTTGTAAAGCCACTAGCACGCGCAGCGTTTCGGGCAGGTCCTTAATCTAAGAAAATTTTAAGGAGGTAAATACTTGCAAAGTTTATAGACAAAAAAATGAAAACAGATTACATGGAATGAAAAAAAAAGAAGATGAGAGAAAATTATAGGTACAGTATATTAAAGCACATAGGTAGCTATGATTGATTGCAATGACAGCTTAAAATGGTAGTTGACAACAAATTGGTAGGCACAATACAGCAGAAACAATATAAGATTGATTGCAATGACAGCTTGAATGGTAGTTGACAAAAATTGGTAGTCACAATACAGCATATGGCTAGCACATAAAAGAAGACAGCAATGAACACAATGATAAGGTTGTTTGATATTACATAAAAATTAGGAGATTGGGTAACACTAGGTACAGAGCAAATTTAAAGCTCAGTGTAGGAAACTAAGAAGATGAAGTTAGGTACTTTTTGGTTTTGCTTTTAAATAAGGCAAAAGTTTTACAGTTTTTCAATTCACTAGGGAGTGAGTTCCATAGACTAGGTCCCTTAATTTGCATAGAGTGTTTACACAGATTAAGTTTGACCCTGGGGATATCAAAGAGATATTTATTTCTGGTGTGGTGATAATGGGTCCTATTACATCTGTCCAGGGAGAGTTTCAGAGCATGGTTTGCATTTAAGAACAGGGTTTTGTAAATGTAGTTGACACAAGAGAATGTGTGGAGGGAGTTAATATTTAGCAAGTTTAGGGATTTAAACAAGGGAGCTGAGTGTTGTCTGAAAGCAGAGTTAGTTATTATTCTGATAGCAGATTTTTGCTGTGTGATGATGGGCTTAAGGTGGTTTGCAGTGGTAGACCCCCATGCACAGATACCATAATTAAGATAGGGGTAGATTAGTGCATAATATAGTGAGAGGAGAGCAGAGTTAGGAACATAATATCTGATTTTGGAGAGTATACCAACTGTCTGTCTCTAAGTCTTTCTTAGTCTAAGTCTTTCTTAGTTGTCAGGGCGTGTTCCTTGGGGACAATTTACTGGATAGTATGCAGGATGTTGAATGTGGGTGCTGAAGTTGAGTCTCTTGTCTAGGAATAGGCCAAGAAACTTGCCATCATTTTTATTACTGATGTTAATGTTGTCTATCTGTAGCTGAATTGCATTTGATGATTTGCTTCCAAATAAGATGTAGTAGGTCTTTTCGATGTTTAATGTTAGTTTGTTCGTTGACATCCATAAGTGGACTTTTTTAAATTCATTATTCACAACATTATTTAGTGTATGTGGGTTGAGGTTTGAATAGATAAGGGTAGTATCGTCAGCAAACAATATAGGTTTGAGAATATTAGAGACATTAGGCAGATCGTTTATATATATAAGAAATAGAAGAGGTCCTAAGATGCTGCCCTGTGGCACTCCAACGGTAATTGGTAGAGTGGAAGAAGTTGTATTATTGATGGTTACATATTGGTGTCTGTCACTAAGATAGGATTGGATGTAGTCAAGGGCAAGGCCTCGGATTCCATAATGCTGGAGTTTAAGTAAGAGGTAGTTGTGATTAACAGTATCAAAGGCTTTTCTTAGGTCAATGAAGAGTCCAATCAGAAACTCATTTTTGTCAAGGGCTGAGTAGATAACGTCAAGGAGACTAATGATTGCATCGTCGTGTTAATACATACATATACACACATCACAAACAATAAACATATTGGGGAATATTAGAATTAAGGACTTGCTTGAAACGCGATGCTTGATAGTGGCTCTACAAGATTGTAAGAACTCTTGTATATATGAAACGAATAAAAACTAAACTGTCGAGAAGCGAGTAATTATATTACGGGTTATTCATGCCCATGCTACCTCTTGGGGTGGCTTAATCTTCATCAATGGGGTAACCATCAGTATAATTTCTACTGTGGTGGACGTGAAGCCTACTCCCTGCCCCAGCACGGGGCTCGTACCTTGTCAAGCACAAGGCGAAGCTCAAGGAGGTAGAAATAACCTAAGCTACTCTATCCCTTTTAGATGTATTTTTTTCTTGTCTCAATAAACATACTTGAACTTGAAGGCGAAGCTTGAAAAAATTCAGAGGTATGCCACTAGGCTAGTCCCAGAACTAAGAGGCATGAGTTACGAGGACAGGCTGTGGGAAATGCACCTCACGACACTGGAAGACAGAAGAGTAAGGGGAGACATGATCACTACCTACAAAATTCTCAGGGGAATTGACAGGGTAGACAAGGATAAACTATTCAACACTGGTGGTACGCGAACAATGGGACACAGGTGGAACTGAGTACCCACATGAGCCACAGGAACGTCAGAAAGAACTTTTTCAGTGTCAGAGTAGTTAACAGATGGAATGCATTAGGCAGTGATGTGGTGGAGGCTGACTCCATACACAGTTTCAAGTGTAGAAAATATATGACAGAGCCTAGTAACCTGTACACCAGTTGATTGACGGTTGAGAGGGGGACCAAAGAGCCAGAGCTCAACCCCCGCAAGCACAACTAGGTGAGTATACACCTATAGCCTCAAGACTGTAACACTCAGTGTGTCGTCCAGTTCTAACCGACCTCAAGACGCTTCAGCTGCCACACAGAGCAGACAGTCAGACTCCGACTACATCCTACAGTATAAAAATAATAATCCTGGGTGGCAGCGCTTCCTAGCGGCTGTAACAGAACCCTTGGCCACCACACGAGGAACAAATATCTTGTTGATATTCCCAGTCTGAGACTCAATCAGTCTCTATCCAAGTCAATTCAACTGTGGAATTACACCTCCTAAGTGTAATTAAAACGTTGTACGTCTCCCAACCAGTTTAAACGAGAGGCTATAAGAATATCTACGTGATATCTTGTAACAAATGTCACATTTTATTTACTCAAATTGTATGTCATTGACATACAAATCTATATGTATAACACTCAGAAGTTAGTTAGTTTAGTTCAGTTATTATGCACCTCATACCCATCTTGTGGGCGGTAGTGGAAAGGGTTACAGAGGCACATAATGGGCTCAGGGACTGAACCCCACAATTCATTTAGCTAAGCAAGTTACAATCTTGATGAGCTAGTTACAAAAATCAATATAAGTCGTCAC